CAAAAACAGACCAGATAGCAATGATGACACAACAAATGAGCAGACCGTCACAACTTGAGTTGGTCAACTGGTGCAAAGGGGAATCAATAGATTTGAAACATGCTCTACTATTGTATGGGGTACCGGAAGGTGTTTCGAGAGATGAAATAGAAGAAACAGCAGGGACTATCAAAGCTTTGGGAAAAGTAGTAGTTAAGGGAAAAATGTTTAACTCCCAACTACAGTCATTAATGGTGTTGTGTGAGTGTCGTGAGGAGATAAACCCCATGACAATCCCCCCTGAGATAATGCCAATAAGTGGTGGAAGTGGCTGGAAAGCAGTGTACTACGTTGAACCTCAGCCAGATGACTTTGAGGGAAAGTTACTCACTTTTTTGCAGAATGAAGGGAAAACCTTAGAGGATATCCAAGGGTTACGCACCCACGGAGGGGAAGTGGATGGTAATTCTGAAGCCATCATCCGTGCAGTAAGTGAGTTAATGGTCAGAACAAATAAACAGCCTGAAAGCCATCCATATAGACGTCTAAGGATATTTTCCGGGGTCATTCCCACCCCAGCTGGGGAAGAAGCCTTAGATATCTGGTTGGAGCAAGCGACACTTCTAGTAGATGAAGGCGAGTGCTCCGATAAAGAAAAACGTAGACGCATACTGGAAAGTCTCAAAGGGCCTGCCTTGGAGATCATTCAGGCCGTGCGTCTGACTCAACCTGATGCTAGTCCCCAGGACTACATAGAGGCCATAGAGACCATTTTCGGCAGAGTAGAGTCCGCAGAGGAGCTCTATCTGTCATTCAGAGCCCTTCACCAACAGCCTGGTGAGCACCTGTCTGAGTTTCTGCGAAGATTAGAGAGGTCTCTTGTTAAAGTAGTCCAGGGAGGTGGCTTACCAGTTAGCGCTGCTAACAAAGCTCGGTTAGAGCAGTTAGTTAAAGGATCCACTTCTGAACTTATGTTACTTCAGTTGAAAATAAGGGAGCGAATGGAAAATCCTCCCTCATTCCTGAACTTGTTAAGAGAGGTGATGGAAGAGGAAGGCTGTCAAGCAGCCAAACAAAGCCAGACCACATCTAAGTGTCACCAAAGGGTTCGCACAGTTCGGGTGGAAAAGGAGAAAGAGTCTGAAGCGGTCACTCAGAGTGAACTGCAAGCTCAGATTCAAGAGTTGAGAGCACAGTTAGAGGAAAGAACCCACTTAGGAAGTCGACCACTGTCTGATTGCACTTTCAAACCCCCAACAGAGAAGCAAAAACAGAAAAGTGATTCGCAGAGTGAAATACAGTCACTCAGAAAGCAAGTGAAAGCACTAGAACATAAAATGAGTGTGATGGCGGTGAAGTCTACAAGTGACCCCCCACAAGAACACTCAA